AAGACATCTAGATTAATAAATAGATTTTCTAAAAATCTCATTTTGATTATTTTTGACAATAATTGTGTCATATCATCGAAGAAAATATTATACTATTATAAAATAATGTAATATATTATTACCCGATTCATAATATTATGAATGATTATTAGTATTGGTTTGCTTATGATTAGAGTAAGAAATAATGGCCCGGATGAAATAATAATACAATTATATTAAGCCCGCCTAAATTATACGAATATGCACTGTATAATTACTACTAAATTATCGTTATTCGTTTTTCAAAAACATCTAACATACTATGTTCATTTACGTACGTTGTTCATCTGATTATACGGTGCCAGAAAGCACCTCAAAAAAGTAATTTCTTAATGATTTATTCAAATTGTAATTACAAAAGTAATACAATTATGAAAGTACAATAACTAAGAACTTAATTGATTTCTGTATGAATTTAAAGTAAAAACTGAAATTTGAAATTACCTTAATAAAACCGAGTTTTTCTTATTCTAGGAAAAATTCAAACTTTGATATTTATCTGTTTATAATAATTTTTATTATTAAGAATATCACCAAAGTAAAATTAGTTTACACCACTTATTAATTTGCAACGCAAATAAACGATTTTTTTTTATTAGGGTTGAGGCTTTGACAACAAAAGACATTAGCCTGACACAATGGTTATTGTGATGAATTTTAATCGAACGATTGATCAAAAATAAATAATTCAAAATATTCAAATTTATTTCATTAACCTCATGGAAAATTCTTTTAAATTAATTATCGATTGAAACCACACTCACATACGTATATACTTTAATGTTTAATGTATATGTATATCTAATTATTATTGCTAATACTATAATATTAGTATGTACCTACCTAGATAGTTTTTAAATAAATAAATGTTTATGAATTACGATTTTGACATAGAATGAATGCAACTGTAAGCAAAATATTTCTATCAGTAAACTGAACAATGCCTCAGGAATTTGTAATACGGTAGCATATGCATAAACATTTAGACTTKGTCTTTATTTTATTACATAGCAAAATTATTACTTAAAACACTAGACTTCCTACATTCGCATGTTATTTTAGACATAACTGCACGGCGCGAACCAAAAATATATCCGTTTCATAATAATTTTAATAATAATTTATTTCCCCATGAACGTTTTTGCTTTGCTCCGAGTGTTCCAACTATTAGCCCCATCTATTAACTGAAATTCTAGTCTATAGTCGGTACTCTGAATGTATATTAGGTCATTTTTCCGCGGCAATGATCATTTTTACGAGCTTGGAAAAAAACCGCACGGCGATAATAGTTTACCCATATATTATTAATTATTATATAGAAGAAATCAAAAACTCCCCTGGAAAACGCGGACTCGGGTTGGAATTGACTTTCGGAGGCGTTTCGCTGTCGAATTCAATATCGCTAAATAATACGCGCTTGCCCTATATTAAGTGCAGGGTGAAGAGAAACGAGTATCTAAACCAGTGGATCTCAGCCGGTGTATGCCGCGAGAAATGTCTGATATTTGCAATTTGCTGGTAAAAATATTGAAAACATTACATTATTTCATAACATTTGTGTTGAGAGTGCAGTGAACAAAAAAAGTTCGAGAATCACTTATCTAGACATTATTACTGCCTCGTTGTCTCTGACTATCGTCCAACATTATTGAAGTGAAACTTCTTTACAGAGGGTACGAAAAAAAAACCAGAAAAGATTATTATCGGCCGTCACGACACTAAATGATCGTTTCTAAATGGTAATAAATCAATCTCAATCGAAAATATAATTTGTTTTTTATTTTATTCCAATACAAACCTAATATTATACCCGACCGCGGTGGGCGATATTATATAATCTATTTTTTTCGTATCCTCCGTAAAGAAGTTTCATCACTTCATCCGCGCATACCCACTCGMGACACGCGCATTATGCGCATTTATTTATTTAATCGTAGGTCGTACTCACACCATAAGTAAGTTTGCCATTTCGTGGTGAAGAAATAGTTGCAAAAACAGTATACGGACAAGACGTGTAACAAAGTGATGAACACGACGTTCATCCATATGATTTCCTGCTTGCTGACGGGGAGTTGCGCAGACTGTTCCCCGTCGTAGTTGGTCGTCTTCTGTTCCTTTTGGTCGTTTTTTAACTGGCACGTTTCCTGTTGCTGTAACATATCCGACTCTGTTATGGTCGTCGTCTTCGCACCCATCTGGACCATGGTGGAAGAGTGTCCTGCACGAAAACATTTAAAAAAAAAAAACGATATTATTTCGACCTTTAACGGATGTATTGTTACGATCATTAATATTATAATAAATATATAATGTAGGTTGCAGGCGTACTACGCTGTACGTGTGTTTTTTCTCGTTTTTCACTATTTCGCGCGCGTGTCTCTGCTAAACATAATAGAGAAATCACGCGAAAAAAAGTGCCGCCACTACAAAAGAGAAATACAAAATGGACACATAGTGGATACNTGTACGTGTGTTTTTTCTCGTTTTTCGCTATTTCGCACGCGTGTCTCTGCTAAACATAATAGAGAAATCACGCGAAAAAAAGTGCCACCACTACAAAAGAGAAATACAAAATGGACACATAGTGGATACGCAACAAAKAATATAACAATATTCGTTCATTATGAAACATTCTTCTATTCGCGCACCGTCATAGACGATATATACGATATAATTATAATATTATAACGGTCGTTCGGCAATACTTACTATATACAGTAGGTAAATACAACAATACTTACATAATAATTATATATATATATACATAATGGTACGTATAATAATTTTATATTATATTATATTGGCGTAACCGTATAATGTGCTATATACACGACGAAACTCGAACACAGATATTTTTTTATTTATTTATTTTTTTTTGTTATCGTTCGGTTCGTGTTCGGCGAAACAGCGGCGGTTGAAATCGAATTCTTAACGCTTGTGCAACTGATTCGTCTGAACAGTCCCGACACGACACGCGAAAGCGACAGCGACCGTGGTTTTGCGAAAACCTGCAAGAGGGAACGCTGAGCGTAACGCTCGCGTCCGTACGTAATATTATAATAATAAATGATAATATTTTATGAATTCTAATGAAACGCCCGATAACTGTATGTCCGCATAACAATAATAATAATAGTCGTGATTTAATGCACACTATATATTTTTATCACGATCGTTGCGAATTTTTGTCGACTTTTTTTCGTTTTCAGAGTTTTTKATTGTAAACACCCCCGCCGTCCRATCTGTCGACCGCGGTGGCGTTAATATGGGACTCGAGCACGAGTGGATCGACATAATAATATATTCAAATGGRTTCATAGCAATAACAAAAAAAATGTTTAATCATCGCTTATTACACTGATTAAAGAATATAATATGGATGGACCACGCCATATATACCATAGTTGGCATATATATATGTGTGTGTGTGTTTTGTAGTGAATTGTAACAATCAAATGCAGCAATACACGACATTTGAATTGATCATTTTGAGAAAAATAATATCACCACCGCAGCTTAAGTAAATATAAGTAGGTACAGTGGTCGTCGTTGGATTCACGGTTAATTGACTCATTCGCCTTTTACGCTCGAAACGCCCGTTCCTGATTTCCACGAATCAGAGAGCAAAAAATTCGTCTATTAATAATCACACACCGATTAATTGGGTCATTTTGAACTGAAAAAGGGAAAATCCAATCAACTCTGGATGGATTTTTATTGTGAATTAATTAGTTGCCTAGCATGTACAAGAAATATTTTACTACTTTATTTTTTATTCGATCAGCATTTTTTCGGTTGAATATCCACACATTACTTTTATTATTATAAATAATATTAARCAATTAGTTGAARTTCTCGATAAAAATGTTTTTATTTTTTGGTGGCCATTTACCTTATTAACTCATTTGGTTAATGGACTAAAATTTTCTGATTCCAAAGTWAGCCAAATAAGCGGTAATATATAATATATGATATTATATATAATATAACCATCGCTGTACTATCATTTGCACACATATTGTATGGAATTTCGACTTTTTCGTCCGTCAAAATAATATTATAATCGCGTTGTGGCAGCGTTCGTTTAATTTTTTTTTTTCACAATAATAATAATACCTAAATATCTATACCTACATAAGTTTCGAGTAATGCGATCGAAGGAACTCGACGTGTCGCGTCTCGTCCGACGCTGGCGAAGACTTCTGACGTTTAAATACATTTGAATATTATGTTTATTTCACAACATTGTGCGTTAGACATACAAATAAATTATGATAATAATGCAATTTTTTTTTAATTTTAATTTTTCACTACTTCAGCAAAATATTTGTCGACGAGAGATCTTGTTTTAACGAACTCGTCGACAAWTAAAACGGAAAAGAACGAATGAATTAGATTGCTRTCGACTATAGTATATTATCGTCTGAATATCACACTGCAACGTGATAAAAATATTGCAGTGAATTATTAAACAATTTACAATATTGTTTATCTCGTGGYGATATTAACCAAGTTCTATATTGAGAAATCTAAAATTCCTTTTTAATCTGAAATATTCGTTTATCATTTAAAAAAAATATTAATTATTAAGTCAAATTTTTTATGAGACCCTTCTATTGTAATATTAAAACACGAATAAGATCACTGAAAAATAATTTTAAAAAAAATATGAGCATTTAATATATCGACAACCAATYGTTTCTGTCATATRATTAATTAATTAAGCAGAGCAAACGCGTACTAATTCACAATAATATTACAAGTTACTCGTTTGTACTAAGGTACATTTTAACATACGAGACAATTTCTATAGTTTTTGTTAGGTTAAAGGGGACGATATATTTTTAAACGGGTTTTAAATTAATATTTAATATCCAAATGATGAAATAGAGAATATAACATTGCACACCGATATAACTCATAACAATATACAGTTAAATATGTAGGTAATAAATATCACAATAGTAAACTTGAGTTGAAAACAATTAGTTASCAGTGGCCATTCAGCACTGTAAGAAAACTGACGGAGTGTGATAAATGTATACCTAATTTATTTGTAAAAATTCACCTTAAACGAAATACAAGGGAACGTTGGTGATGAAATATAATCATTCTAAAACATAAAAAATTTAAAACTAGGTAGGTTTCCATTTTGTGTGTGTGTGTGTGTGTGTGTGTGTGTATATGTATAAAAGTAATAGATCTGAATAACAGATAGAACTTATATTTTGCGATATACGATGCTCAGTTTGCATTTAATTTTGTAAAAATATGTTAAAATTTGCAATGAAATCAAATCGCCAATAATTTCCCAAACTCTATCCATTAAGTCAAAATGAAGCATCTTTTAGATTTAAAACAGATCGAGAGAATGAACTCAAGTTACTTTTTATGAAGGTAAGCTGTTAGATAAGTTTTGCAGTTAGTCTCACACTTAAATAAATCTGTAACATTTTATACTGATTTTAAATGGTTTTCGTCAAAAACAAAATCACTAAAGTATTGAATTGAAATTATCAGCGTAATATGATGCCTCATATTTACATTACTCCCATTAAAATATTAGGTAAAACACTTTTCGATTTTAAGTATAGTGAGGACATACAAATCATACAATAATAATATGCATTAGGTATACTTCAAGGTAGGTACTTTCAATCTATGCAAAATAAAAAATGTTTGATTTTTATGAATATCTCCATTTTGTCAACACGATTTGAACCAAATTTGTAAAAGACAAGGCAACAAATCAAACCACATGCCAATACATACAAATCTTAGGCCTAGATTAATCTTCATCATCCTTTAAAAAAACATATTTCCGACTATCTAAGTACCTAGATAATACTGAAAATTTAAAAATAATTAATATTAATGCAAACATTACACCATGACAAAAAKATTTTAGATATTACYTAATAATACTTAATGAATTATGTATGTTATACAATCGTACAAATGTTGAATATTTTGTAAATTGTAGTGATGTGGACATACATGGAAATATCTAATGTTGCAAAAATTTGTATTTAAATCGATACAAATACAAGGTAAATAAATGCCAATAACATTTCGTATTGATACATAAAACTTCATATTGTGCCATTTTAAAATAGAAATGTATGTGAATAACTGAGAAATGGCATAAAAAAATGAAAAATCTGTTTCGATAGGATAAATTAATATTATTGTATTATAAGAGACAGCATCACCCAATTCAATTTCKATKAAAAAACACTTTTAAAATGCCTCGACGACCCACGTTCATATTGTTAGATAAATATTAAGTATGTAATTGTAATGATAATAATATAGGCATTACTTATTGTAATAATTTAATTACAATGATATTTTAAGTAATTTATCCTATAATAGGTAAATAATATGCGATCCAACGGTAGTTATGTTACTCACCCAAAAGTAATAACAAAAATGCTGAAACGACGATAATATCAAATAAAGTATGACGAGTGAAGAATGCCACCAGTCTCTTCGTTGGTGACTCCTGCAACAACTACGCGGTTTTTCATTTCATTTTCAGCGAGCTAGCTGGTCGCTGTTAACACGACCCCACTACAATGCGTCACGTTCGATGAAGAATAAATGGTATTTAACAAGCAAACACCTAGGACCTAATTTCAAATGTAAACAGACAATTCTAAACACTTATGTAGCCGTACGAATGTGTATTATGTGCATACATACGATTATTGCTGCATATTATACACATTATTATTATTTCGAAAGTTAAATAATTTGAGTACAGTCAGTAAATAGGCGCTATCGTATAGATTTTAATGTTTGTAATCGACCATCAGAGTTAGATTAGTCGAACCACAAATAAAAATACATTATTATGCTCCATCGATTTATAATATTATAGGTACAATAATAATATTATCAAGTATACCTGATGCAGTACTTGCTAATTCACAAAACCGATAATAGGCAAAACATAAATTGTATTCAACAATCTATAGATTTGTGACAATGGTTTATTATAGATGTATACTAATAACATATATTAAAATGTAACATTCCGGTAGTAAAACGTTAACTTATTTTTATCATTCCAAATTTCCAAATTCATATAGATATTAGTTACTCGAGTCATATAAGGTTAAAAAAATAACATTTCACTGAATCACGATAATTTGAACGTATTAGTGTATTACCCAAACATTGTATTGTTACGATTTGTTTTGTCAGTAGGTACACTCTGTCACGTTATACTTTTAAGTTTTAACAGTTATGATATGTAAGCTATATCTATTCCACAGTAACTCTCTAGGAAAGCTTATAATACAACAACATTGAAAACATTATAGTCAGGTCCGGATAGGTCAGTCAAGCATTCGAGAAAATCTCGAAGGGCGCTAAAATTTTGGACTGGTATAAGAAATTTGCAGCAATGCCCACGTTACAATTTTTATGACAGCTATATAACAGCATACAGTCAACAAAAGTGATAAAATAATWATTATTTATTAATATTAAAATTAGTCCAATGGACTGCTATAGCAAATTACGGGCTGATTGAAAAATATTTCTCGAAAGGCCGGGACTACCCAATCCGGCTTTGATTATAGTAACTGGATAAATTCAAGGAGGAAGAATATTATAAATTTTCTTGTATATACTATACTATACATATATATACATACATAAGCTGTAACAGATTTATTTTTTCCGCACCGAAATGTATCCGATTACTTTTATCAGAAGCTTCAAGTTTATCTTGACTTTTCCAGTTTTCCCTTCATCATACAGCCACTGGATAATGTTCGTTTTCAACATAACAATTTATTAGCACCTATTATTTAAGGAATACAACCGGAAATTAAACTTAACGTTCTATCAATGTTAAATATTTACATGGTCGTTACAAAATTTCAGATGAATATATTGTCGATGAGACATGAGATAGGAAACACATCGAAAAAGAAACTGGCATTAAATTTTCGTATATTTAAATAATATAAATCGTTTGATTTTTAAAATAATCGCTTTTATTTTTTATAATTATATTCATTATTTCTATAAAAAGGTAATAAAGATTTTACATATATAATAACTTATGGAAATTGATTATTTTTTTTAAATCTTCATGGGCGCTACTTTCCATATTTCTACTAATTATTTCACAATACTCTAAACAACAAAAAATACAATGGTTCGCATTCTCAATAAAGTTTTTAGAATCCAAATCAAAGTAAATTATTCTCATATAACAGCTCAATTAAACGATTTATGATTGGACAGCTCAATTACGACGACGTTGACATAAACTTGAAATACAGTAAATAATGGCAATAATTATCTATTTATGGATTTATATATGCTTGACGTTAATAATTTTTCCCGTACTAAAATTATAATTAAAAAAATATGTGAAAAACGTTACCCTAAGATAGGAAAAGTCGATTTTCAAAATAATCTAACAGTATAAACCTTCGAACGAAATAAAATCATATGTATAGTTAATGTAACTATAAAGGATTAACTTCAATTAAAAGAATTACATTTTTACCAAATCAAAATTGTATGAGTGCAAATGCAAAAATTGAATACGAGTTATACCAAATCCGCGATGCACAATTAGGTGTTATAAGCATCACCGGAGTATAATGTATTGTATAAGGTATTAATTATCATACATTAGCATAAAATAATAAATCAYTGCATAAAAACCGAGATCCAAGATTCAGAACAAAGCTATAATTCATACTATACTACTATATGAGATTTATAGAAGTACCTATTCAGAACGTTTAAATTACTCGGCAATATACAAAGCAACTAATGAATTTTTATAAAACCTATTATATTCAATATTTATCGTTAGGTCTGTGTTATGATTAACAACAATGAATCACAACAAAATAACTGATTTTGTTACAAATATAGATATGATATGAATGTAACCATTTGTCTGTAATTTGTTATCACCGACACTCGAGAAACCTACCCATAGGATATAATTGGAAGCGGGTCGAGCCTTGGAAATCTATTCTCCCAAAATTTAAATAATTATATTTGTTTTCTTTGTTGCTATTAATTGGCTCATTTTGTGTAGGAATATCAAATCAAATCTCCAGTACCTATATGCTATTATAATATTAAATATTTATCATAATTTGTTATTGTTATTAACTAATAATTCAATACCTCGAACTTCTTAGTCCAACGTAGTTATGTAGAATGATGTGATGGGTTTAAAATGTAACTGCTAAAATTACTAATTAGACTAACAATTTTGAAAATGGTGTATACTTTAGCTAATATTTTTCTAACAGTAAATACTCGTCATCTCAAGAAGAATAAAGATTTTTAAAATATACTTTAAATTGTAAAGTCATTACAAATGATTACATTATTATTGTTTTTTTTTTTTTAAATTAACTAACAACATAATATTACATTATTTATCTCGTGTTCCGAAACAAAATATTTCTATTCTTTATTTTCTTATCTATGAATTTTTATGTATATAAATTAAATTTAAAAAGAGTGCCCAGTTGATATTGATTTTAATAAGTGCCTAATCAAAGCTCTGATTAATGATGTGGAGTGTTAYTATTCCGCTCGTCTAAACTCATAACTAATTATAACTAATACTTCGAGTATGAGTGTTTACTTTTAGAGAAAAAAAAGTAATTTAGTAGATTATAATAATATGTAATGGTAACAATTTTCAAGTCTCTATTATTAGTATCATATTTAATTTTGATAAAAAATAATATACATATATCTTTAAAAATGAAACTTCAGTGTACATTATCAAAATGTTACTCAAGTATCTACTCGACAAAACCAGAAAGTCATTAATGCAGGTAGGTACTCGTACAATAAATAACAACACTTAAGACATTTTAATAGCACATACGCATATTTTATTGAGTAATTACTATAACATGAAGTGCGGACGCCTACTGTTAACGGCATTCATCAAACTGGTTTCGTATGCTTTTGAATCGATAATAATAAAAGTTATGGAAACAATAAAATATTATATAATTATATTTTGAATTATATTATTGCAGTAGGTTGGCGTGTATTATATTCCCCTCCATCGGAGAGCTGAACTTCAAACAGTGCAACGATAAAACGACCTTGACGTTTCTAGAGCAGTTTCCCACGTACTCCAATATTGTATTATGGAATAATATTACCATAACCTATAGATTTTTTTTTAATTCCGTTACGAATCTGAGGCAATATTATTTTATCGAGAGTATTTCAAGTAGAGTTAAAAATATTGCTTTATAACATAAAGTTATTACTTATTATATTTTTATCTGGATGAGATTTTCTTTTGGATTCATTCTGACCGGTCACTACACATAGAACGGATACCCATCGAATTGGTGCTGCCTGTCCGACTGATCTGAACTTATCGTTGATAATACGAAGTAAAATTCACAAATTAAAAAAATTAAACTTCGACAGCAAAAAATCTTTCATCCRCCTGCCTCTAACCAATCACAACCATTCCGRGACTTCCGGGAWGCTAAACATTAACTTTAAATAAACTTCCAAATTTACTATTATTTTTATAAATTTAAMTTACRATCAGTTAGTCTTAAAATTTTGTCTGCATTTATTAAAACCATTCACAAACTCAATTTTTTTTTCATTCATTTGTCCTAGTTATTTTAAAGTTAATATGTTTATTTTTCTATTCTAATCATGCTCATTCTATAATTTTTTTCTAAAATTATGCATCAATATAAATTCAGATTCTTTGAATCTTAAGTACTTATGTAATATATTGAATGTYCAATAAATGCTCAACCGTTCAGATTTATATGGAATTTAAAAATTGACTGTGACAATACAAGCTTATTTTTAAACAAGTACAATATTCCTATTTTCTTCAAATGTAAACCATTAGATTATTTTGAAAATATTRGTGCAATGAAATCGGGATTAGAATTAATAGATTCTGATTGATTATTTGTTCATTAATTTATTTTTAAGGATGATTGATTTTATTTCTTTAAATATTTTAGTATGATATCACGAGCTTATAAATAATAATAATATGACGCATGTGCTTTTAGAACATGTCATCCACACGTTGTACTAATATTATAGGTTTTACAAAAATATAATTAAAAAACAAATTATTTGGACGATATAACTAAATATTGTCATGTCTTATGTATAACCATAAGTAAATATAAAATATATATATTTATATATATATAAATATATTTATACTATATTTTTTATTTATTATTAGATATCATTATTTATTATAAATATWATGTATCATAATAATTTCAAAACAAAGGCTTATATTATAAGATAATACAAATGAGGTGAGCAAGATTCAAAATTGTCTCATGCCTATATAACTCTTGATTTATGATTGTTCAATGCAAAAAACCTTTTWTATTTCATTAAATTATCAGATCTAATTTTTATAAGAACACCTAGCTATTATAAGTTAATATAACACTATACCTATAATAGTTGTACATATATTGAACAATTATAACTCGGTACAAATGTAATTAAATTTATTTATTAAACAAT